CTCTGCCTCTCAGTAACTCTGCCTTTCAAATAAATAAGTAAATCTTAAAAAAATTTAAAAATTTCTTCCAGAAAATGAATGGCTGAATATAACCACAATGCACAAAAGCCTTGAAGGCCTCACTCAAGCAGAAGATTCTGCCCCACAACAACAGAACAGGACAGTCACTGGTTTCACTTTAACATAGGCCCTTGCCATTTTAACACAAAATGATTATCTGAACTCTTGATGCAAACCTGCAAACTTTTCCAAATATAACAAGGAAAATATTGTTTCCTTCATAAAACATAGCATGAAGTTGGTATAACCTTGTGCCCATATCTACAAAACAATCATCAGGGAGTTTGTAATATTCATCAATCTTGACTCAGGGTGGCCAGAAAAGGCCCCATGGAAGAAGAACAACTTAAACTAGGCTATAAAAAAAAAAAAAAAACCACACTCAGAACAAACAGCAAAAGCATTGAAGTAATGAGTATGGCAAAACTGCAGTATTTGGGAGGCAGGCAAGAATCCCAGTTGGACAAGAGTGGGAAATAAAGCTGAATATGTAAAAATGGAGCCTTCAAAGCCAGACTGAAGCGTATGAACCCAATCCAGTTGGCAAAGTGAATCCATTATGGGTTCTCCAGCAGGGGAGCTGACATGATGAAACCAGTATTTTACATAAATTACACTATCAGTAGTTACAGAAGATAGTATGGAGAAGAAAGGTTGCTCAGGGCAACCAACTAGAAAATCAACATAATAATCCCAACTTTAAAAACCAATCATTCATTCATTCACTGAGAAGAGAAGCAGACCACTACCTAAGAAATGCAGCCTAGGAGTCCACCTGTGCCTGAGCCCCAGCTCTGCCTCTTAACTACCTGAACCTGGATCTCCTCGCTATTAAATTCACGCTATCAGCCACTCAGATTGTCACAAGCACTTCTCAAAGCACCTGAATAGTACTGACACAGAGAACTTTGTTAGTAGCAAACATTACTGCTAAATTAGGACAGGTTAAAAAAATGGAAAATGAAAATAAGACAAGGCTCACAGGTATCTCAGAGGAACATAATATCCAAGGAGAACCATCTTGACAGCAGTTGAAAATATAGAAGAAAAACTCAGGTGAACTGGCAAGGCCACAGGAAAAAAGAAAAACCTACTTGAAGTAATCTTCCAGCCTCCCTCCTCCCCCAAAGAGATCCCCTTCTATTTAAAAAGAGTTGGGAGGCGCTTCAAAGGGCACTAGGAGATTTTAAAGGTCCAAGCCCAAGGGACAGAAGAACCACAACAAAGGAATGCCAAAAATCCACCACTGAACCCACAATAAACATGTAACTTGATATCACTCCCATTAAGTGTTAAAATTCAATCTAATTCTTCCTGGTGTGTGTAAGCCTGAAATCACAACTTTTGAGAGTAAATTGCTAAGTTTGTTTCAAATAAGTTGCCCAGGAACTAAGGAAAAATAGCTGCCAAATGCTTCCTAGGACATTATGCCCCCACTAAAATAAACAACAAGCAAATAAAATGTTAATACAGAAAAAAAAAAAACGCTTCAAAAACCAAAGCCAGCAGCAGCAGCTGACAGGATAGTGCTCCGTTTGTCAACCTGGGTTCTAAACACCTTATACATATTACCTTACTTAAAGTCAACTCTACAAAGTTGACTGTCCCCTTAGATGAAGAAACTAAAACACAGCAGGAATTTCTATCCCAAACCAAGTGAGGGACGGAGCCACAAAAACATTAACGACTTTTCTTACACTGGTTTTCAACACTGAGGTTGGTTAGGCCTACTTTTACTTTTCCTTAATTGTAAGCAGCAAACGTGTTCTTAATGCTGTTGGCAGTATTTGAGAGGCTACTTCACTGATGCCAATCTTAAAGTAGGAAGCAACAGCAGGTGACTAGATTGCATATTACCTAACAGTGCTAGGAAATTAAACACAATGACATGTATCCCATGAATTTCATTTGTCCATGCAATCACTTGATCCAGTTAGCAGAAATGCCTAACCTGATTAGAAACATAAGTTTTTAAGGATATCTACGGATCAAAATAGTTGGGAAAATCTGGTACAGACCTAGCCATCTACAAAGAAGACTGACCAGGAGTAAGCCAGACCTAGGTTTAAATCCTACTGCATCATTTGAGCAGCATGTGGCCTTAAACAAGGGAATCAACTTCCTTGCACCTCTCCACTTCATCTTGCACAATAACAGCGAACACTCCCCACCTAATAGGATCAGCCTTAAGTATAAATACAGAAAGCACCTCCCATCTCCTAGAGGACTTTCCTTGGGCTCTTGGGAGAGTCCCATCCCAAAGGCAGGAGATGCCACATCTCTCCAGCCACAACTCTCTCACAAAGCCTTGTTCCTTTGTTGATTTCAACTTTCTGTGGCTAGTGGGGCAGGATTACCACCAGGTGGTCTGCAAACTGAACAATACTCTCACCTATACTCTTACTACATAGCCCTAGGGTCCCAGGGCTTCTCTGCTATGGGAATGTTTGAGTGCAGAAAAATGCAGGTCTCAAGTTAGCTGCTCTCTTAATTTTTTTTTTTGCATTTCTTTGACTTTATAATGTAAATATTATTTGTGAAACAAACTCACATCTATGAGAAAAACATAAAGTCACAGACAGTACCAGTGTTTCTGCCACCCCCTACCCTGACTTCCTGGGGTTCACATTCTTCACTACCCTGTTTACATAAATAACTGCGAAATTGAACAAGTACAAATAATCTTGACTAACTTCATCAAAATGTGTTGAGTCAGAAATCCTTTGTAGTAACTGTTAAAAGAAGTTGTGGAAGGGGGATTCTTTTGTCAGCTACTCATCCGACAAGACCACCTTTATGCTGCATTGCTATATACGAACTGATGTATTTATTCAACAGGTTGACATTCAGAAGAGCCGTTAATTACATCTCCTTTTATCAGGAACCCCTATGTTTACGTTCGGCATCTGCCTTTGTGCAAAGCTTGAAAAGCTCGCAGTGCACAGGAAGCAGTTACTTCTTACTGTTGCTGGACGGATAGCATGGTAATCACCCAAAAAGCTTAATTAGGTGTTGAGAACACAAGTATCAAAGAGATTCCTGGACCTATGTAAAAAATTATTAACATGTTTTTAACACTTCCATGATGCAACCGATGCAAAAATACCATCTCCACAAGGGGCCACTCCATTTACCATCAGCGTCTCCCATGTTAATAACCAAAGCTGACATCTGTTAAAAGAAAATGTCTTACAAACTGCCGGTGAGCTTGGCAACAATTTTTAAGACACTAACACGCCACTTGAGTCCATTCTCACAAGAAGAAAAACTTTTTCCATGCACACATTGTTTTCATCCCCCATAGAGTGTACTACTTTCTCCTACACAGGACTGATTCTAACTACTTCAAACGGGGGGGGGGGGGGGGGGGGATTGGCACTTACTTGTAACTCTAATGATTGCAATTACATACATCACAGTACAGGACAGCAAAACTCAAAACAAAAAATTGAGACTCCAAACAAGCAGGAAAAACTCCATTTATGAGCAAAAAGTATAAACACACATCACATGCCTAATGGCTCTCAAGCCTATTTTCTTTCTGCTGCCCCTCCCCCATAGGTAAGTGCTAACTATTTCTAGAACTCTCAATGACAATTTGGGAAGCTTGCCATCAACTCCCATGATACAATCCAACATTCACGATGTTTTCATGGAGACAAAGCTGCCCTACTTCTCCAGACTATAAACTTATTAAAACGGTGAGAGAACACGCAGTCCCAGAAAGCCAAGATTACTAAAATACACCAATGTAACATGGGTCTCATTTAACAAAAAATGAAAAATGAATCACATTGCGAAACCCCCCCCCCCAAAAAGTCACTCACTGTCTTCACCGTGTAACCAGGATATTTACTTCAAGTTGTTTTAGGCTAAGAGGCTAAAAACACCACGAGGCCCTTATGGTCTCCAAACTGGAGGAGGGCTCTTCAGGAAAAAAAAAAAAAAAAAAGGAGGAAGATGATTACTTAATGATGGAGGGGGAGGGGAAGGAGCCTCCAGTCTAAAAACCTAGAACTAAAAATAACCCACCATATTTTATTAACAAGATGTTTAGATGAGCATAAGGTTCTTGTTTGGAAAACAAGAAAGCCAACAGTAGTAAACTTCCCTAACTCGACTGCAAATCGCATAGGTACTAAAACTCTTAACCTCTGGGTCCTGCACAGTCCAAGCAAGATCTCAAGCAAACTCCAGCCGCCGAGAAAATCCGATTTTTAACTAGGCTGCAACACTTCTCTCTCAGATTCACCCATTATTTTTACAAATTGTCGGATAACCTAACAAAGAGCATTTTTTTTAAAAGCCACGACGACCCAAGTTTTCCATGAAACACACCATTTTCACAGGCTGAACTGAATCCCGGTCGCCACTGCAAGGCGATGCCCGCTTCAGCAAATTAGGAACTTCCAAAAAAACGCCGAACACGTTAACACACGCATGGCTTCCCTCGGGCTGCCACCGTGAAGATTAATATTTCACTTCAAGAAAAAGTCTTGTTTTCTGTTCAAAAAAAAAAAAAAAAAAAACGACCTCGCCTGCAAAGAGGAAGTTCCCGAGAAACCACCCTCTCACAACGTGGCCTCTCCACTGTCAGAAAACACTGGCACTCGGTGCCACCCGAAACTTACCAGGAAGCTGGCAACAACTTTGCCAATTCTACACTTCTGAACCCAACTTCAAAGGGGCTCCACCAAACAGCTCCCGCCGCCGGTGGGAAGCACCAAGTGACCAACCACCGCGTCCCGGAGCGAGGCCCTGCGGCCGCCCGCCCCTCCCCCAGCCGCCGGCGCCCCCGCCCCGGACGCGCGGCCCCAACGACCGTCCGCAGCCCCCCGCACGCCGGCCGGGGGCTCGGGCCGCGCCCGCCCGGGGGAGCCGCTTCCCATGGCTGCCTGGGCTTCCACACAAAAATCGCGTGCATCGAGAGGAGCCGTCTCCTCGGCTAAAAATAGGCTATAAAGGAGTCGGCCTCATGATGGCTCCTTGATTCAATTTGCTGCAAATTCTTTCCTCAAAGCCTCCCCCCACCCGGCGCGCGCACACACACACACACATACACACACATACACATATACACATACACACAAAAAGGGGGTGTCGGTGCACGGAGGGGGAAGGGGCCAGCAGGCCCGGGTGCCCATTTTCGGGGCCAACGACAACATAATTAGGGTGAGGATCCCCCCCGAGACCCAGGGAGGGTGGGGGGGGGTGGGCAGGCACGTGAGCATTTCAAAGGCGCCCGAGAGAGCCAAGGCGGGGGGATGGGGCACCCTAAATGCCCTCCCTCCCCTCCCCCACCCGAGCCCCAGCTCCCCCAAGGGCCCAGTGGAAAAACGCATGTTCCCCCTAGCGCCCATCCCCCCGCGGCCCGGCGCCCCCCGGCCGCCTCCGGCCCGCGGCCCCCCGCCCGGCCCGCGGCCGCCCCCACTCAGGGGTCCGGCCCCCGGCGCTTACCTGGAAACGGTGGCCTCCAACGCCGCTCCCCCCCTCCCGGGAATGGAGGCACAAGGAAACTCCCCTCGTCGCCGCCGCCGCCGCCGCCACCGCCTCCAACCACCCCCAAAATAACCCCTCCGGGGGGTGAGAGGCAATTATAACCCCGGCGAGCGCGGGGCGCGGGGGATGGGCGCCGGCGGGCGGGGGCGGGGAGCGCGGCGCGGGTCCCCAGGTGGCGAGCGGAGGTGCTCCCGCCGCGGGGGGAGGGGCGGGGGCGCACGCGGCCGGCGGCGGGGGGAGGCGGCGCGCGGGGGAAGGGCGCGAGCGGGGAGAGGAATTGAGGCAGAAGGTAAAAGCTGTTACTAAGGGAAAGAGCCAAACGGTTCGGAGCAGCCAACGGCTCAGACACTCAACACTGGGGAGAGAGGAATGGGGACCAGCCAGGCACAAATGAGCTCGCGAGGCCCGCGGCGGCGGCGGCGGCGGCGGCGGCGGCCGCGCAGCAAAACAAACCCGAGCGGCCTGCGCCGGGCGGGCGGGCGCGCGGGGGAGGGGCCGGGGGGAGGGGCGCGGGGAAGCGGCGGGGGGGGGGGCGTCCGCGGGCCGCGCTCCTCTCCCTCCCGGCTCTCGGCGGCGGCGGCGCTGGGGGCTGGGCGAGCGCGGCGCATTCTTTTAAAAAAGAAAGCCGGCCCCGCGGGCGCTCCGAGGCGCCTCCGGGCGCGGGCGGCCCCGCCCCGCCCCCACCGCCGCGCTCGGCTGAGGGCCGCTGGGTGTAGGCCGCGCGGCCGGGCCGGGGCCGGGGCCGGGACCCGGGCCCGGGCCGGCCGAGTTTCCTGGGCGGCCGGCGCGGCGCACACGCTGCGGGCATGTGCGGGAGCGCGGCGCAGGCCTCGTGTGGACATTTGCTGAGGAAGGGCTAGCGCTAGTGCACACCTTTGTGTGCGTCAGTGCATATGTTACTGGGAAGCGTACCTGCACAGGGGCTCTAAGCTGTAAGAAGCGGTTTTCCGAGTGGAATCCGGAGCACGGGCTCTGCAGAGCGAACAGTCGCACACCGGGAGGGGTTTCTGATACTAAACACAGGGCTGTGATTGCAGTGTTTGTGCCCAAATGGACTGTGCGTCAAGCATATGGTGGTATTTATCGTCTGGTGGGCCTGTGGCAGAGGTTGGGTCCATCAGTTCGCATCTCACGAGAATAAAATCACGCTGCCCGGTGTGGACTAAATACGTGCCTCTACCGCAGCCTGCACGGTGGAAGTTCAGGCCCTGCGCGCACTCGGTGCGTGTGTGCTGTGGCGCATCAGAGGCGGCGATCGAACTGGAACTGAGGTGGCTGATACCGCGATAATAGGATGGAGGCAGGGAGTGCGGCGGGCTCTTTTTGAAAAGGGAGGCACCTCACCGCTATGAAAGCCAACGTGGTGTTCATCTTTCAGAGACTCTGAGAAAACAGGCCTGGGAGGTGCTCTTAGACCTCAGTATAAGCCGAGGACATAAAAAGCAACCACTCTAGTGATGTTAAAAAAAAAAAAAGACTTCAAACTTTTTGTTATGCTCCAGTATTACTGCCTTCAAAGTAAAATAATATTTTTGCAACCGCCTGGGGGGGAGGATTCTGTTTTCATAATTTCATCTCAGTATTTGGAAATAGGTGTAGTCTTTTGAAAGCAACAGTCTTTTCCTCTCAGTATCAGAGCTAAATATTTCTCTCTCTCCCTCCCTCCCCATCCTTCCCCACACGCACAAAGTAGTATTTGAAGTCACTTTGACCAGTGTGGACTCCGGGTGGCCTCATAGGCTCCGTGATGAGTCAGGTGCTTTTCTGGCGGAGGTCAAGGTCTCTTTCCCCTGGTGAGCCCTTGCTGTGGGGAGCAGCCAGAGGCCTTTGGTCAAGGACGCAGGCGGCCAGGCACAGGAAAACCGTCGGAGGAAAGGGAGTGGAATTGGAAACTGCCTTCCAACCGCCCCAAAGAGAATTCACAGTGTATTGGTGATGTGGCCGTGGAGCAATTTTCATTCGTGAAAGGGAATATTAAACAATGTCACCTGATGGGAATTTTGATAACTGCAAGTTTCCAAAATATTATGCTGAGTGTACGTGGGAACAGCACAAAGTGAGTTTTACGATTCAGCAGGGTTCTAAAGCTGCGGGTTTTCTTTTTTTTTTTAATCTGAGAATGACATTTTTTTTTTTTTTGAGTTATTTATTTGAAAGAGTTAGAGAGAAGTAGAGACAGAGAGAGAGGTCTTCCATCTGCTGGTTCACTCCCCAGTGGCCGCAATGGCTGGAACTGCGCTGATCCGAAACCAGGAGCCAGGAGCTTCTTCCAGATCTTCCACACAGGTGCAGGAGCCCAGGGACTTGGGCCATCTTCTGCTGCTATCCCAGGCCGTAGCAAAGAGCTGGATCGGAAGAGGAGCAGCCAGGATCAGAACCAGCACCCAGATAGGATGCCAGCACCCAGGCTAAGCCCCCAACATCAGCTTTTCAAAGATTGTTTCTGAAGCAATGAAAGTGTAGTATCTTCCTATTTATTTTTTTTTAATCTTTTGGGAGTTGATTAATGACAGATAAAAGGATACCTCAAAAAGTTTGTGGTGGGGCATTTAGCACTGAAGCTGGGTGGTCACTTGGTTCACCTGCATCCCTCATCCGAGTGCCGGAGTTGAATCCCGGCTCCTTCATGTTCAGTCTAGCTTCCTACTAATACACACCTGGGAGGCAGCAGGTGATGGCTCAGTTAGGTACTTGGAAATGCCAGGTTGAGTTCTTGGCTCCGGGCTTTGGCCTGACCCATCCTTGGCTATTGAAAGCACTCCAGTGGATAGACTCGTCTGGCTCTCTACCTTTCAAATAAAATGAAAGTAAAAGAAAAAAAAACTGGATTGATTTTTTTTTAAAGGAAGTTTCTAGGGGAAATAGAATTAAAAGATAAGTTTAGGGGCTGGCAATGTAGCACAGTGGGTTAAGCTGCCGCTTATCACACCGGCATCTCGCATCAGAGTGCTGGGTCAATTGTAGCTGCTCCAGTTCTGATCTAGCTCCTGGGCAGTGCACCTGGGAAGACTCAAGTGCTTGGGCCCACATCATCCTATGTGGGAGACCTGAATGGAATTCCAGGCTCTTGGCTTTTTCCTGACCTTGCCCTGGCTGTTATGGCCATTTGGGGAGTGAATCAGCAAACGAAGTTCTCTGTTCTTCTGTCTCTGTCACTCTGGCTTTCAAATTAATAAATAAATTGATTTTTTTTTTGTAAAGGGATAAGTTCAGTGCAAAAAAATTAAAATCAGTACAGTCTTTCATAAATACATTTCCACAAACCTCTACAAATTTTACTTGAAAGGCAAAGAGAGAGAGAGAAAAACAGAGATCTTCCATCCACTGGTTCACTCCCCAAATGCCCACAATAAGCCTGGAACATGGATCTCAATCCAGGTCTCTCATGTGGGTAGGAAGCAGGTATCCAAGTACTTGAGCCATCACCTGCAGCCTCCAAGGGTGCACTTGAGCAGGAAGCTAGAATTGGAAACAGAGCCAAGACTTGAACCTAGGCACTCAATATTAACTTTTTGAAGACCCTTCATGGGCAAAGATTTCAAAATTTTGGCACCAAACTTGATTCCATTCTCCATGAATTTTTTGAGGTACCCTCATGTGTCATTAAACATAATCCTCTGTTTAGTAAGCAATAATTCCAGTACAATTAGGACTCATTATCTGAGCCACCCTGTGAAACAAATCTATGGGCCTCGGTTGTTTCCTAAGTTTCATATTATGGCACATGGATGGGTTTCCTCCAGCCAGCAGCTACTGTAAAATCAAATTGTTCTTCCAATGAATAAGGATTTTTCAGTCAGACCATTGCTTAACAGATCAGCTCTAAACCAGGGGGCCCAGACTCCTCCCCCTGAATGACCCCTGGCCCTCACTGCAAGAGGGAGTACCCAGTCTCTTTCTGGTTCATAGTTGTGGGTTCAGTCTGAAGTTCTTGACTATACCAAGCTGCTCCAGCAGTTGCTCAGTGTTAGTTGAGCCTCGTCACAATGATTATAATCCATGCATTTGTTTGCAGCCCTATAGTTTATAAGGTATTTCCATAAAACATTAATTACTTCATTTGACTATCATAATAATAATAATAAAAACCATGTTGGGGACTGGTACCATAAACTAGTTCCAGGGAAGTATACCTAACCCACTGGCCTTAAATCACACTCACTGAAGAGACCCGACACTTACCCAGGAGAAAATGGGCACTGAAAAGTGAGAAGGCCTTATAGACAATATTTTGCTTACTCTGATTTCTATATTCTGGAACCATCTGAAACAGTGTCACTGCAACATTAAGTACTCAGATAAATGGCCACCACACCAAGGTCCCATGTGTTGCTACTTCATCCTCTAGCCATTCCAGAGCATATAGGGATCAGAGGCTGCCCTAAAATTCAAGCAATAATTAGGCCCACTGGGTTACGTAAGGACAAAGAACAATTGTTACTAATTTTTAGTGCTTGTCCTAATCTAAAAACTGACATTATGCTTTGAATATAAATGTTAATATGTTTCTAGAAGGAAGAATCACATTATTAAGAAATTCTGAAGCAAAGGGACATGTTGTTAAGAAAGTTCTCTTGAACTTTCTAGCTAATTACTTAAAGAGAAACCTCATACCAGTAACTGTTACCAGAAGTTACATTTAAGAGTACATTTTTAAATGATTAAACAAATCC